AAAAATCATTGATTCATTCCGAAATTTGCAGTGAAATGAAATTTTAGGGTGAAGGGTGATCCCAGGGACCACTTTTGGAAGATCTTTACAAAAGTTTATTAACAATTCCACTAACTAGTGTGGAGTCAGAGCGCGCTTTTTCCGCTGCAGGAGCATTTTCAACAAAAATTCGATCAAGGCTCAACGAAAAAACATTGGATACTTTGTGCTTTTTAAGAAGCTTTTTCAAAAATCAAAATGAAAATTGAACTTTCATTTTGCAATTTTATTTATGTAGTTCAAAAATATTTTAATATGAAATATTTCCTTATTTTGTAATTTGTTTTAATTTTATTGTTTTGAACTAAATACATTTATGTTAAAAACTAATGTACTTTCTTTTCTTTATACTTTTTAAATTCCTCTATAATAATTCCGGAATTAAACCCGAATTCCGGATTTCGTCTCCTGTGATTCCGAAAATCTGGAATTCAGTTTTTTACAAAAAAATGGATTCACTAGTGTGCATTCATTTTCACAGACAAGTAGATTTACAATTTTTCCAAATTGTGGGAGACAAAGTTTGGTCAGCCCTAAAACTACAATAAAGTCTGGCATGTATTTTACACCATCTTTGATTACACAATTTGCACAAAAGCATTCTTCATATAATGAAATTTCACTAAAAACAGACATAGGCAACGGTAAGCAAGCAGGCATAATTTCAAGACCAGGACCTACTTCTAAATTTAGTATACTAGCGACATTTGACAAATCAAGATGTAATTGTATTTGCTGACGCCACGCAATACTTTTGCAAACATTTTTAAAGTTGTGCAAAATGTGACACTGCTCCTTTGCAGGAGCATATTTACCTTCAAATTGCATACACCAATAACTTGGCGAAGGTCCCACATGTAAAATTTTGGTGGGATAGTGAACAAGAAAATGTTGTTTTGGAATAACAGTATGTCCAGAAAATATTTCTGTAAACAACTTGTGATGAACGCTAATCACCTTTGTTAAATAAGTTATTAAATGAATAGTCAATTGTGGAGCAAAGATTATTCCACATATTTCCAATAGTAAATGAATTAAATGAAAATACTGGTTATCAGTTTCTACAACATCGCCAAGCAACGAACAAAAAAATCTTCCTAAACACCAACTTTGAGTTGCATTCATACCTAACTTTTTGTCTTTAGAAACAAGTTTTTCACATGTTATTGGCAATGGCTTGTTTTTTTTATCAATGTCAAAATTAAAAGTTAGCAGACGGCCATTGAATTTGTTAATGGTCAACAGGCAATCAATTAGTAATAAGTGATGAAGAACTATTTTTAATTCATACTGTAAACAACTCTCAAGTATGTCATGCATTGAATCTGGGCAAATGTTATCAGGAACAGAAAAATACTTAAGCTCTGACAAGGGATTTTGTTTATATACACCAGACAATTTAAAATATTCACTATCACTAAAAAGTACTTGACAATCGGCAATGTGGCGCTCTTTAGTTCTTAAGTCTACATCTTTTTCATAAAAAGTGTGTTGCATTTGTTCTATTGTTGTATAGCAGTAATGGCAGCTCTTATTAGCATTAAAGTTTGAACTAAATCCAAAAATCTGGTGCAATGCAAGATTATCCCCAGACCACATAACTACTGCACCAAATATGCAAACGTAACTTCCATTTATATACAATTGAACTCCTTTTTCTAGAGCTAACAAGTCCTTTGTTAGTGGTTTTAGAAGCTTTTCATATTCATACTTTGCAACATCAGCTGAAAAACAATAAATTACAGGATATATGTTGGTCAATTTAGAGCATCTCTTTGTGTTAACATTTTTTATAGACATATAAACAGCACAAATGTTGTGAACTTTAGTTTTTAAACCTAAAGGTTTTACTGTTTCAAAATCATCACAGTATATTTGAAGCTGAGAAGCATTTAGATGTTTTTGATATAAATGGTGATTCTTATATTGTTCTGTATCACTATAACAAGTTAATTTATTTAATTTTGTACTAATGTTACTATCTATTTTATCAACAATGAACTTTGAAAGCACCATAGAAATGGTTTCCAGTATAGGAATATATTCCATAGTTTCATTTACATAACTTATCATATTATTTTTATAAACTTTATGACACATCTCAGATCTGAACTTAACAGTTATTTCAATAGGTGCAACCATCCCTTTTTGTTGTAAGTAATTTCTTTGCAAGTAACTAGATGTAATTAAAGTACATTTTACACACTCATATTCAATATCATTTAGCACATCATTTACTCTGCCAGCATCAGCTTCATTATTGAGCATTGTTTTTTGTACACTTTCAATTACTGTGGATAAAATATTTTGAACACTTTTTCCTACATACTGAATTACAACTTCACTTGTATTATGACATCTAAGAGTCATTAAAACATCTAAAATCATTTCTTTTATACTTTCCCCATATAATACACTTGAATAAATATTACTAGTGTTATCTTTATCAACATGTGCTGCTGTATAACTGCCTTGCTGATCTATTAGCTCATCATTCCTTTCCACAGGAGAAATATTTATACTTTCATATTTCGTATAAGGATCACTTGGATGCTTTCTATACAAATGAATTTTAAGGGCATGGACACTGTCATATGTTCTGCAACAACCATCTTGTCTGCAAGGAATTTTACAATTTTGTGTTGAAGAAATACCATGGCGATAATGAAAATGTTTTAAAAGATCACTTACAGTCTTTAATGATTTTAAGATTGACTCACAAAATACACAAAAGTAACCCATTGTTTCTTTTAATATTGATGAAAATGTTAATAGTAAAAAATACAAACGAAAAACTTAAAAATATACACAATTTTCACAAGTTATTCCAAATTTCACTACTTCTCAAAACTCCAATTTTTTAAATTTTAATCCATGCGTTTTTTGAAAAACTTTTAACACATACCTTGTGTCAGCAAGAAAGTAGGATTTTCTTTTTAGAACAATCGTAATAAAATTTAACTTGTGTTAAATGAAAGCAACACAAGATTAAGTGTTGGTTTTCAACACAAGGTTTTTTATAGTGTATGCTTTTCATATAATAAAATGAAAGACAAAAAATTCTTCAAAATCACTTTTGTGAGCATGTTAACAGGTAACAGCTGTGAAAATGTTTAGGTTTGTTTGGTTAAATACTATTCCAATGTTAAAAATAATAACGTTTTTTAAAATTTTTATTTTTTTTTAACTTTTTTATGATTCAACATGACTTATCATTTATCATTTAGTTTTATGTTGCTGGTGCGTTTTTTATTTCTAATAAATTATTAAAAGTAAACTGATTTTTTCAATATGGTTTCTATTGTTTTTTATGTTTTTCTTATGTTCTAAGAAGTATTATATTAATTTTATTTACATATTTTACTTAAGTTTTGAATGAAGTTGACTCATTGTAATATGGTAGTGTTGCAGTGGTATTACTCATTGTAATATGGTAGTGTACAAATGCTCCAATGTAAGATCAGTTTAAAACATATCTATGAAATATTTACTCAAATAATGAGGCTGTTTCATAATCAGTATGTTTAAAAAAAGCTATAAATTTTAAGATAATTCTTCATGTATTTCAACATCTGTATTTTAACATGTATTTTAAAAAATGCCACTGAGAATTTCAATTGTGTAACAAATAGGAGTCTTAATAATAATACTCATGTACAAGTCTGTATGCTTCGGACAAGTCATTAAACAAATAAATACATATACTTAAAAAAAACATTGTGTTAAAAAAACATACGTGTAGATGTTTCTATTACAATGATTGATTCTTATATTGTTCTGCATCACTATAACAAAATAATTTATTTAATTTTGTACAAATGTTAGTATCCATTTTATCAACTGTATACTTTGAAAGCACCATGGAAATAGTTTCTAGTAAAGAAATATACTGTATTGTTTCATTTACTTAACTTATCACATTATTGCCATAAATTTTATGTCACATCTCAGATCCCAATAGTTATTTCAGTAGGTGCAACCATTACTTTTTGTTGTAAATGTTTTCTTTGAAAGTGACTAAATGTAATTAAACTAGATTTTACTCACTCATATCATTTACTCTGCCAATGTGGATAACTGTGGATAAAATACTTTGAATACTTTTTTTCCAACTGAACTACACTTGTGTTACAACATCTAGGAGTCATTAAGAATATCTAAAATAATTTCTTTTATTTTTTCACCATTCAATGCACTTGAACTAATATTTTCATTTTTATCAATATGTTCTGCTGTATAAATACCTTGCTAATCAGTTTTAGCTCACCATTGTTAGCCATAGAAGAAATATTTATACTTTCATATTCCGAATAAGGATCACTTAGATACTTTCTATATAAATGAGATTTAAAAACATGGGCACTTTCATATGTTCTGCAACAACAACCTTGTTTGCAAGAAGTTTTACTATTTCATGTTAAAAAAGTACCATGCCAGTAACGAAAATGTTTTAAAAAATGCATATAATGAAATTGTTTCAAAAAATGCTGATAATAAAAATGTTTCAAAAAATCACTGTTTCAAAAAATGCCAATAATAAAAATGTTTCAAAAAATCAAAAATAGTCTTGAATGATTCTAAGATTGATTCACAAAATACACAAAAATAACCCATCATTCAAATTAATTTTGATGAAGATATAGCATATAAATAATGCAAACAAAAAAGGCTATAACATTAAAATGCAAAACTATATATTTTTTAAAAATTCCTACACAAATCTTGTGTCAGCAAGAAAGTAGTGAACATTTTTTTTTACATTTAATGCATTCAAAACTTTATGAAACTTTATAAACTTATGCTTAATAAAAGCAATCCAGTAGGTGAACCATTTCATTTAGTCTTTGTGCAAACTTACTTTAAGTTAAAAAAATATGTAGATTTCAAGTTTCTGTTGTTTATGTTTTTTTTTAATTTGTTTTAATCATGTTTTTATTTGTTAAATAGTTTTTGCTCTTCAGGATTGTGATTTAAAGATGACATTAATAGAAGAAAAACAGGCTTTATTAGATGAGAAGGAGTTTTATGAATACAAGGTAATTGATGAAAAGTTTATTAAGATCATTTTTTCTATTTCAATATATATTTTTTATATGATATATATATATATATATATATATATATATTTTGATATAAAACATATTTCCTATTTTCTATTAATTTGTTTTTAATGTACAAGCTATAATTGGTTTAAATTTTAAAAATATTTAGAATTATCTTGGAGAGTGGGAGCTTCCTACAAATTTAAAACCACCAGATGCAATCTTTAAACCTTCAGATAATCAAATATTAGGTTTTATTTTGAAAAGAGTTTATCTATTAATATACCCTCCTGCAGTGAGTATTTTTCTAAATCTTTACACTTTTTTTAGAGTCATAGAATTATTTTTTTAAAGAAAAAACACTACCTTTTAGTGTCATAGTATTTTATTATTATTATTTTTTTTGTTTAAAGAAACATGAGCCTTTAGTGTCAGAATTATTTATTAAAGAAAAAGCATGGGCTTTTATTGTCATAACATTACTTGTTTAGAGAAAAAACACAAACCTTTAGTTTCATAGAATTATTTGTTAAAAATAAACAGACTTAAGTGCAAGGCTGTCAAACTTGTGGCCCACGATGTATAACTTTGCAGCCCACTCTGTATAATTTGTTATTTAGTTTTTTTAGCAATTTATTTAATTTTTTATATGGTTATTTCATTCTCAATGATTGCTTTTTTTTTATTTTTTTTTTTCGGCTGGCCTAAATTTTTAAATTGTTTATTTGCCCCATGTTAGAATTTGAGTTTAAAATGCCTGCCTTAGTATCATAGAATTATTTGTTAAAAATAAACATGAGCCTTTAGTGTCATATAGTTATTTGTTGAAAATAAACATGAGCCCTTAGTGTAATAGAATAATTTTTTTTAAAGGAAAAAATATGGGCCTTTAGTATCATAGAATTATTTTAAATATATATTTTGCATATGTAAAGAATTTTTGTTTTCTATAATATGTCAAAAAAAAGAATTTTCATGTAATACTTGTTTCTTAAAATTTATTTTTGCAAGCAGCTATATTTGATCAGATTTATATTTTTTTAATTAATTTAATATTAAAATTAAGCAGAAAACAGTAAAAAAGGAGAAAATCAATTTAAACAAAGGAGAAACAAATAAAAATTAAAAGTAGAACTATTTATTACTTTTTAGTGGAACAGCCTACACTTTTTAGTGGAGAAAAACTCAGTGCCTTGTTGATATCATTTCGGATTTCAAAACTACAATTGACACAAATTGTTTTCACCATTAAATATTAGAAATGCTTTTCATTTTCTAGATTAAATAACTTTTTACTGCTTTCTTGGTATGTTTAGATTGCCTGTTTAGTCTTATGGTAGCTTTTTATTTTATTTTAATCGAAGTTTTATCTTCTGTCAGAGCTTCTCCTTCAATACTTATATTGTTTTTTTTAGAAATATGGGTATATTTATCAGAGGCATTAATTAAGGCTTGTTGCATAAATGTTTAAACCATTTTTTTAATGAAATGTGTATTAAAATAAAAATAATAAATGATATATTAAAATTTTTAATAAACTTAGAAAATTAGATTTATTTAGCTTTTTACATTTACATTTTGATAGTTTTTTTGAGGCATGTTATATGTGATAATATATTCCTACAACCAGTTGTTGCAAATATGACTTGAATGAGCTAGTAGGGAGACCAATCAGACTTCCACTTACACAAGTGACATTTCAATACAAGAATCTATTATATCTATATATCTACCAATTGCCTTAACTGCTAGGACGATTAGCCATTCCAGTCACTAAATAAATTGTGCCAATGCTGGACCATCTTTGCAGCATGATTGATTTAGGTATCATTTTGATTGATGAAGAAAAGCAGTGGGTAAAAATATGATACATTGAAACAGTTGTTTTTTGTAAAAATGCTTCTTTTTATTTTTCAAATGAACAGTAGAAATTATTTTGGTTTGTTTCAAGCCATACCTTAATTTTTGAACACTAAATTAAGTTTTTTCAACAACTTATCAGTTTCAACTGTTAAATCTATTGGCTTTTTGCTGCCCTCTTGACCTGCATTTTTACTTTTATTACTGTCAACAAACCAAGTCTACACTTAGTGTTCTTATTGGAATGACCAAGTCTACACTTAGTGTACTTAATGATGTTCTTTGCTCTCAGTGTTTCAAACTATTCAAATTTTCACTGTAGTTGTTATTTGCTGTTTTGTTGATAGTTTCACAGTAGTTGTTATTTGCTGTTTTGTTGATATTGATGATTTTTTAATTTAAATTAGTTTGCAAGAGATAAGATTATTATTAGCATATTAATTAGAGAAAATTTTTATTCATTATTAGAAATAAAAAGTAGTTTGACGAAGAAATAATATTGTATATTATTATTTTATTAATTATTGACCGACATAATTGAGAAGGGTAAACTCTTATTTACTTCTTGTCAGGTAATGCAACAAATAATTTTTACATATTGCCACACATCAATTATCACTTTACTAATTATTGACAGGCTTATCTAGAATATTGCTTTTTTTATGATTTTATCAAAAAAATTTATGTTTTATCTAATAACTTTAACTATTTTACAGCATAATAAAAAAATATTACCATTAGATTCAGAATAAAAAAACTCTATTGGGCGGTTTTGTTAAGTCTTCAAACTAGTTTATTATTCAAAATTAAGGAAGCTTTAAATAAGTAGTTTAAAGTTTTTTTGAATTGGGGCGCTGAAAAAACATTTTTGCTTTTATTTACCCTATGCTTATAAAATTTTAATTAGTTTGTTTTATTTTATTTTTCTAAATTTTGTTTTTAAATGTTTATAATTTTAAGTCGTTTTTTAATAAGTTTTAAAGATGAATGTTTTTTTTTTATAATACAGCCGCCTCTTGCACTGCCAGTGTTTCCGTCATTTCCAATAAAAGTGTGTTTGCAAGGAAAATCATTATCAGGAAAATCATCTGTTGCAGACTATTTTTCCAAATGTACGTTTTTAGTATTTTGTTTTGTAAAACTTTGTTTATTTTGCTGTTTTAATTATGTGTACATAGTTTCCACCATGTTATATTTGTGCTTAGTGCATATTGTACCCACCACATAATATTAGTATTTTGTTTTGTAAAGCTTTGTTTATTTTGCTATTTTCATTATGCGTATTGCCATAGTATTTATGTTAACCACCACATGTAGTTATGTTAACCACCACATAGTATTTATGTTAAATGTAAGTCTCTATAGTTCATATATATATATATATATATATATATATATATATATATATATATATATATATATATATATATATATATATATATATACTATAGCATATTTATGTTACAAATTGTTACCATATTTTTGTTACATTAAATATGAGTTTTCAAAAAAAAAAAAGAAGAATAATGAAAGAAAAGATTGCTGCCCCGTGCCAACCCCTCAGTCGATGTACAAGTCAGGCTATTTGTCAGTCGATGCATGTACTGAAGCCCCCGGCAGCAGGCTATTTCAGTATGACGTCAGACTGCTCACCTAAACCAGCAGTATATATACACACACACATACACACAATAATTTCTATAGGCTTGAATATGGAAATTCTTAAGTGTCTGCTAAATTTTATATTATATATATATATATATGTATGTATATATATATATATATATATGTATGTATATATATATATGTATGTATATATATATATATATATATATATATATATATATATATATATATATATATCTGTGTGTGTGTGTGTATATATATCAAACTTCTCTGGAAATGCAAGCAGTCGCAGGCCTTATATGACCAGGCCCAGCGTAGACATTTCAAAGATAGGTGAAAAAAGTATTTTGGTGTCTCAATAAAATAAATTTTGAATTTTGTGATGTATTTTAATAAGAATTTTGTTTAAAGAGTATAAATAATTTAACTTGGAGATGGTACTTTTCTAAAACAATACTTCTAAACAATGTCAACACATGTTTAGAAGTATTGTTTTTGAATCTCGAGAGCTTTTATAAGACCTGAAGTATGGTAATATAGTAATAAGACACTCCTATAAGCATGTATATTTTTAAATCAATTTTAGTTTACTTTAAGGTCGTTTACCTTCTGAGACAGATACTGGCATTGTGTTAAAAAATTTAAATTAGAATGCATATAGATTCTCAAAATAGCTATAGACCCTTAGAGTATATTTGGTTGAGAAAGCCTAAAGTGTTTCCAGAAATGAAAAATGAAGGCTACTTCAAACTATTAAGATGCGAAATATCTTCCATAAAGTTTTCTTCTATTTTAAGCTTTAATTTTTATCTGTTCTTGATCTTTTTACCAGACAACTGAGAATCTTAACAAGACAGATTTTACAATCCAAGTTTTAAATTGAATTTGTTGAATGACAAAGTTCAGTGTTCAAGATATTCACTTCAAGCTTATGTTTGGAAAACTCATGCAAAAAAAAACAGGTTTTGTTCCAATTTTGCTATCATCATTCGCTTTGTGAAAAAATCTGTTTAGTCGCCAAGGCAAGTCATCTGCTCATCATCAGTCAATGTTTTGGTTGAAGATAACTATAGGAATTGTTGAGGTTTGGTAGCAATCTTCTGTGTTCGTTTTGCAATTTTCTGTTGTCCTTTTGTAGTGGCAATCTGAGTTAAAAGTCTGGAGTCCGAAGCAAGATCTTCCATACAGCGGGACTGCAAAGCTAAAAGATCTTAGATTTTTATTTATTTATTACAATAGTCAATAAAACTTAATATTGCATAGCTTAATATCGATGAAAGAAAGCAGCAAAAGGCTTTCATATGCTAATGATTGACATCTTAAAAATACTTTTAAATTAGTTATTTGTAGGTAGATTAATTACATCATGCGCCAATTTATCTCAATGGTTTACAACACTTTTTTTAAAAAAAAAATGCTGACATTCATGATTAGTAGGGATTTCATATGGTCATTCTTAATTATATGCCAAGTTTGATAAAAAAAAAGCATAAATGCACCAATGTTTTTAACTTGGTTTCAAACAACTTTCTACTTTCTTCAACAGCAGTTTTTAGGACAAGACCTGATGTTTATATTATAGTTTTAAATAATTTGTTTCTTTAATATTTTATTAAAGAAATAAATTATTTAAAACTATGATTCTTTGGTAATATAAACAAAGCAAGTTGTTTGCATGCACATCACAAAGTAATTTTTTTTATGCCTTAGCAATAAAAACAAATTTTTTACTTTTTTGCAATTAAAATATCATTATGGTTTTTTTTTGTCTTTTGTTTTCTGCTGCCCCTAATATCTTAATACCCAAGACACATATGCCATTTTCGCCCTTTTCTTTCAGCCTCCCTGTACATGATTTGTTTTTAATTAATTAAAACATTTTTAAAATTGTACACTAATATTTACAAAACAAATTTAATAAAGTTTAAAAAAAGTTTTTTTGAGTTATTGTTTTTATTATAAATTGTTCTTGTTCTTATATTTTATTAATATATACATTTAATATAATTATTCTTCTAAATTTATATATTTTTATATTCTCAAGAAGAAGAAAAAAAGTATTCAATTAAAATTTAGGGCCTTTGGAGCCTTCGCACCTGGCAGAAAATCACCCAATGTACCTACCTTCCGCTGGGCCTTGCTCCTGGAATGTTTTAAGTTAGTGTTTCAAAAAATGCACTGAAAGAGAACTAAAAATAAAAAAATAAAAATAAAAACTCAACTTAAAAAATAAAAATAGTTTTAAGAATGATAAAATAAATATAAAATAAACTAGAAAAAAACAAGTGCATAAAATTAATATGTTTTTATTTTAATTGAAAAGTGTTTCACAACAAAGAATTTAAAAAAAATTGAAGTTTCAAAGTTACTTAATTACTTCAAAACCTAATTATTTAAATTTTGAAATTTTTTCTAATGTCTACAAAGCAAATAAAACATGAAAAAAAAAAAATTATAATCATATGCAAAAAGCTGTGGTCAAGTTGTCAGAAAAGTATTGCATGCGCGGTCATAAAAGATGTGCGACTGCACTCATCTGATTTAAGTTGAAGTCTTTTCCAGCCTTTACCTAAAAAAAGAGACCTAATAAGCAGCAGGATTGTGAAGATTATACTGGATTATATGTTACTAGCAGCAGGGTAATCATGGTGAATTTGACCTGACCTCAAATATTGTTATTATTGATATTAAGACAATTTTTCTTATTTTATTTATAAATGTATTATTATTTGAAGACATGTTTGACTACATAAAGTCATCATTAGTTAACACTTTAGTAAAAAATATATCTGTTAAAATTGGTATAAAATATGGTATATAGTTAAGAAAATCAACATAATAAAAGCCTTAAAATTGATAACAAACTTTCTATACATACAATAAGATTAAAAATTTTAATAACAAATGTCAAACATAATAACGATGGCATAGTGCACAGATATGGTAAGTACATATTTTGGTCAAATTGAGATAAGTACGCAGAAAAACGTGTTTTTATTTATAGTTTATTGTGCATAAATATGGTATGTGTACAATAAACGATAAAGAGTCTACTAATTGACAATATGTGGTAAATACAAAAACTCTTCGCGTGCAAATGACAGTTTTTACAGTTAATTACGCGCGCAAATGACAGTTTTTACAGTTTTTAATCTTGCACTTACCACATCTGTGCACTATGCCATAGATAAAATATTTTAAATGGTAAAGTGGTCATTTTAACATGGTTTACTTGCTTATTCATATCAGGTGTTTCCCACCTTATATGAATACCTTTATTTTTTAATTAAAGAAAGTATCCCTGTAGGGTAGTTTATAGTTTTTAACCTGTTGTATAATCTATCAATACTCATAACTATCATTTGGCTAGATTTCTTCAAAATTTATAAAGTTTCTGTCAACCATTATGATTTAATTCCATAAAATTTGTAGAACTTTTAAAGAAGTTTCGAACAGCTGTTTCAATATTTTTCTATAGAAAATAAATAAATTTTTATTTATTTTAAAGTAGTTTTTAGTTAAAAAAGATAGGAAAAAAAGAAAACATTAGTTCTAAAAAATATAGCAGTTATTTGATATCTTTTGACTGACAAGCATTACTTGATAAGTGAAATATCAAGAAAATATGATCAAAATGCACTGATAAGTAAATCCAACACAAATTAAAAAATTGCCTACTATTAATTATTCGGAAACAAGGAAAACGTGGTCTAAAAAAAAAGAAAATAAAACCCTAAAATAAGTAAAAAGAGTAAAATGAAAATTTAAATATTAAATATTAGTAAATATGGTAAAAGAAAATATGATTTGCTATATTTTTCCACAATTACGAGCATGTCAAATGAGGTGGGACTAAATATAACAGCAATTACTGTTTGACAGTAATTGTTGCTATATTAAGTCCCACCTCATTTGTTGACAAGTTTTCATGGATTGGGCATTAGAAGTAGAAAGCCAGCAATAAAACCAAGTTAACCATTGCCCTGAGAAAAAATGATTAGACAAAGAAGTACTTTGGTTTCACTGTTGTTAACTAGAAATTTATAAGTTGTTATAATACAATTTTTTAGAACTTTTTTTTTTTAACTTCTTTCTTGACTTTTTTCTTAAATTTTATTTGAACTTTTTTTAATATTAAGGTTTTATCATTAAGTCTACTTCACAGAAATTTAATAAGGTTTAAGTTTACTATCGGAATATCTCAAAAATGTTAATAATTATAGTAAGTGGGGCATCTGGACACTTTATTTTCATTTTTAGAAAAATCTGGGAGGTATCACATTTTTAGAGAATTGACTGAAATTCTGCTAAAAAGTAATTTTTTTCATATTAAAAAAAAACTAAATATATATGACAGAATAGTAAAGTTTATTTATATTCCAACTTTTTAAGCTTTTTCAATTTTGTATTTATACATCAACATCATTAGACTGCTTTAAGTTAACAAAAAAAGTTTAGATACATTTAAAATTAATTTAGGAACATAGTGTGCTTAGTAAAATAGAACTTATTAATAGTATATAAGTAATTTAGTAGTAGTATTGTATGCATAATTGCCTAATAACTTAATATATAAACAATAATAATATAATAAATACTAAAAATATTTTAAAATCGTTTACACTAATGTATTTTTATTATCTTTTTGAATAAATTTACAAATGTATTTAACTTAAGATTTCAATAATGTTTGTGTTTTGATGTACAATTGATGTATGTTTAATAACTTATAAATTATTTGAACACTTCAATTTTTTTGCTTCTTTCCTTATGTTTGTTGCTGTACTGCAAAACTCCAAACCTGTTTATTACACTTTTCATCTTGGAATGGCAAGATTCAGATGTCTGCTTGTTAAACTGTCCAAGTGAAAGACCACTCAAATCAACAAACAGTTTCCAGATGTACGGTTACAGCATGTACTTTCCAGGTAACCGTAAAATGTTTATCTAAAAACTCAAAAAATTTACTATAAACATGTTTATCAATAACTTGGTTTCAAATACAAAGGTTAAAAAATACAGCAATTACCTCTCTGCAACAGTCTTGTCTAACTTTATAATTTGTGTAAAACTTTTAATTAAAACTGAACAGTTTGGGTCAGGTTTATAGCCAAAGACATGTACAACTTTGTTAAACTTTCAAAAGACATGTACAACTTTGTTAAACTTTTGTTTCCAATTGAGAATACAGTTTAACAGGCATTATCAACTCAAGTTTGTCGCAACTTTTAAGTATCTCTCTTTCCTTCAAATGTTCCTCGATGGTAACCTTTTTGAAAGCATTCAATGCTCTTGACCCAATCTATAAATCCAGACTAATGCTGCATTATAAATTCTGCCACATGGTTAACAAATCCCATCAGAAGTTGAAGTTCTGGTAATGGAATTTCTCTTATTATACTTAAGGATTTGTCTTCTATCTTGAGCAGATAAGGATTAACAACATTCTAAATATATGGAAATGATAATTTTTTATCCTAAAAATGATAAATTTGTGATGAATGATATATTTTGAAAATATTTACAATATACTTATTTATTTATTCATTATATTCCTTCATTTTTTTCACCCGAGATCCTCTAGACAGAACAACAGTTCATAGTAATCATTCAAAGATTGAAATGTTCTTAACTCTCCAGAAAATAGTTCAGAAGAACCTTCAAACTATGTAGAGGCATGCTTTCCTCCATGAGCTTACAATTTTATATAATAGTTCAAGTTATAAATTTATTGTTGGGCAAAAAAAAACCTTTTCCTTATATATGTGTTTATGTTTTTTTATATTATTGATTAACTTTATGTCAGAAGCCAATGAGTACTTGGATTCATGTAACTTCAATCTTACCACTATCCTTGTCATGTTAGAATGATTCTCACTTACCCTTTCACAATAAACTAAAACAAGTGACATATTTACCCCTGAATATGATCTTATGGAGCTGCTATCTTCTGCTCTGCCCTTGGTTGGATCAAACAGATTTACTATTACTGTCAATGATTCTCCACCTATAAATATATATCTATATACATATACTCATTCATTTTTGTAAATAAATATGTAAAAATAATATTTTCAAAAACATGTTTTAAAAAGTTGATTATTAAAATATAAATATAAATACCTGAATCCATCCCAATCTTTACAAATGCATTTTGTGGAACCTGCCCTCGATATTTCATTACAAAATACAGAAATGTTGTAATATCTTCTATATATACTAACTTTCTCTTCACTGTAGCATAGTCGTTATCTTTTTCCTTTTCTTGAAAGTCAAATAATTCAGCAACAATAGTTCGAAAGTAGTTCACTTTTTTTATCCAGAGTTTTCTCCATGTTTTACTCAAACTTTACATCACTTCTCTTCAAAGTTTTTAACACTTCATTAGACTTAAACTAAGTTATTTACCAAAGCTTCTACCTCATTGTAAGGAATCTTTCTTTGATCACTTTCTGTAGTACCAAGAGTTATGTGAATACTTTTACCTTCTTAATATAAGACAACTGTATATTTTAAGATAAATAGTTTATGATAAGATAAACTGTTATTTTAAGAATATATATCATAGCTATTTTTATTTAACAATATTTTACCTGTTCTGAAAATGGTTTGAGCTTCTAGACTTGTTTCTTTATCAGAATAAATTTTTTTAAGAAGGGAAGAAGCTACCTGTTCCTTTTCTTTTTTGGAAATTTTAGAAATACTCTCAGAAAGATTTGTGCTAGCCTTAAAAGGTGAATATTTGTGGGGTTTACCTTTAGCAATTTCACAGAAGCATATTTGGCAAAGTTTCAGTGTTGAGCTAGTTCCCCTTTTCATAATTTTATTTAAAAATCTATTTCTTCCTTGACTGCATATACTGCATAATATTGAGCAATCTCTGGAGCTTTGCAGGCCAGACAAATCAGTATTTTTCCATTTTAGAGTAACTGTGCCTGCAATAGTTTTACCAGCCTTACAGAGATTTTTGATTTACCTTACAGAGATTGTAAGCTCTTACAACCCGGGCATAATCATGTAACATAGGCAAATACTTTCAGTGAAAACTCTGGCTTACAAAAAATTTGAACCAGATTTTCCAAATTTTTATTAACTGGAATGTATTTGTTGTTCTTTTCAAGGCAGCAACAGCAGATGATCTTTTAAAAATTTTTATGATCTCTTTTAAAATGATATTCTCTATTCTTCTTTGTGAGTGGAGGAGCCATAGATTTAATAAATTTGGTATCAATAATAATATATGGGTATCTATATTATAATATATAGGTGTCTGTATAAAAATAAAAAAGCTTAATAAAAAATCAATATTTTTATTACAAAATGTTTTTTTGACCAACTTGGAGTATTCTAATGATATTTATATATAAATATTAGATTAAAGACCTTGAAAATTTGGTATATGAATATTTTTTTTGATAAGCCTTAACTTTCTGTCAGTATATTTAGTTTTTTTAAATACGAAAAAAATGACTTTTTAGCATTTTCGATGTCAATTTTCTAAAAATGTGATACCTCCCAGATTTTTCTAAATATGAAAATGAAGTGTCCAGATGCCCCACTTTATTATTAACATTTTTTGGGTACTCCAATAGTAAACTTAAACTTTAAATTTCTGAGCTGTGACTATAGAATGAATGACTCAAAAACTTCAATATGTTAAAATTTCTGAGCTGTGACTATAGAATGAATGACTCAAAAACTTCAATATGTTAAAAGGCCACCTAATTTAAAAATTCCATGAAGATTGTATAATTCAGACAATTAAACGTCCAATTGGACAGTTATTAGTCAGAAAACCTTGGTTAACAAGGTCTTTTTGGAACAGGAATAATAAAAAAAAATCATCGAAATTTTCCTTTTATTTTAATCAAAGAAATGGTTTCCAAATAAGAAAAAAAAAACATTTATGCAAGATGGAGAACCACATATAAATTTATGGAAATTGTTAAAAGGAGAGTTTTCTATGGAAAAGATCACAAATAGAACCCAAATGATTGAAAAAGTTATTTGGCAACCATGATTGTTTGAAAGAAATGGTTATAAATTGTCTTTCTAATATGCTGAATTGTCTTAAGTGATTAAAAGTGAGGTAAATAAAGAAAGTAGTTTTTTCTGTAATTTGTATTTGAAAAGTGTATTTTATGTTCAAGAATAATTGTAGAAGTTATTTAAAGAATAATTGTATTTTAGGTAAATATAAAATCTCTGTTAATTAGTAAGTTTTACTACCAGTACGACAAAAAGTACAAAAAAAAGAAGATATCTGTATTTTACAAAAAGTAGAGTGCTCAATGTCCTTAAAGAATGTGTAGTAATAAATTAGTAAAAAAATCACTTATCTAACATGAACTTCTATTGCCAGTTTCTCTTTTAGCTTTCTTCTGAAGAAGAAACTGTCAGTAAAAGCTGAAGTTAGATAGGTGTTTTTTTTACTAATTTATGTATATGCGTACATAAATGATATATATATATATATATATATATATATATATATATATATATATATATATATATATATATATATATATATATATATATATATATATATATATATATATATACATATATGTATATATATTATATATAATATATATAATATATATATATATACATATACATATACATAAATGATATATATATATATATATATATATATATATATATTATATATATATATATATATATATACATATACACATACATAAATTATATATATATATATATTTATATATATATATATATATATATATATATATATATATATATATATATATATATATATATATATATATATATATATACATATACACATACATAAATTATATATATATATATATATTTATATATATATATATATATATAATATATATATATATATATATATATACATATACACATACATAAATTATATATATATATATATATATTTATATATATATATATATATATATATATATATATATATATATATAATATATATATATATATATATATATATATATATATATATATATAATTTATGTATATGTATACTTAATATCATATAAAAAAAAGTAGAAGACGATATTATTCTAAGTTGTCGTTGGTCAAATCACACAGAAATCAGTATGACTATTGAAGAAAAAGAGAATTATTTAGCAAGCTAATTTAAATTTTCTAAATAAGTTTTTTACAACAAGCTCTTGCTCTTCATTTTAAGTCTCTCTTTTCTTGTTTTTAATTACAGCTATTAATTAACCAATGATTATTATTTTAAAATTTTTCTTTAGCAAATATTTTAAATTAATTATTTTGTAAAAATACAACTACTAGCTTTATTATTTATCTTTAAAAAAATTAAACTTTGTATATTTTAATTTTTGCTTCTTTTATAAAATAAGAATAAATTAAATAGTTAATAATTTTTTATATAAATGCTAATAAATTGAACTGCGCTATTTTTAAATCTAGCTCATCGAGTTGTTGTTCTCAATATCAAAAATGTAATTGATGATTATTTGCAAATTTGGAAAAAAGTAATATTTTTTTATTAATGATTTTTTCTACTATTTTTAATTTTTTTTTAATTTCTGTTTGCTTAACTTAGAAGTACTATGCTGTTGATAATTTTTTTTTTACTAAGAGTATTGACAATTCTTTGATAATGAAAAATGAAGATTCAATTAATGTTCCAAATTCAGGTAGTCATAATGTTATGTAGCATTTCATGAAAGTTCGGCCATACTATTCTAATAGATATTAAAGATTATATATTTCATAATAAAATAATTTCTTGAATTAATCTATATAACTTAGATATATTACATAAGTTTCATATTTTGACATAATTTGCATAAATATAATTACATAAATTAAAAGCTAAAAACTTGTTTATAAATAAATATGCTTGGGTAATCTTTTAAATTTCATTGTTTATGAAAAAGTTGACATTCAACAACCAGCTCAACAAGCTGACATTAAAGCATCACTACCAGCTCAACAAGCAGTGCAACTAGAAGATCTAAAATCAGCATCACTAAAAGATCTACAAGGAGTGCAACAACCAGCTCTACAAGCTCTACAACAAGAATTGCAATTAGCACAAGAAGGTGAACTGCAATCAGCACCACAGACAGAAAAACAGGTGAACTTAAAAATGTTTTATTTCTAGTAAAAGAAAATTTGTTTTATGAATTTAAATAAAAGTTGAAATATTTTTATTTTAGCCATTAGTTTAAAATTTTTCAGTTTTTGAAATTTAGGGTATTTCAGTTTAGCATTAAAGTGCCATAATTAGACAGGCATATAAAATTTTATCTAAAGTTAATCCATCCAAAGTTCTTTTAAAATTTATAGTTGTTATAGTTACAAGTCTGTTATCTTAATAAATAATATCCAAAAAAGATTTGTTTCTGCACTGTATTTTATTCATCTATTCATAAGATTGCTAATTGTTTAGATCTATTTTTAAATACTAATGATTGAAAACAAGTTTATGCGATTAAGTTTGGCAATCCCATCCTAACTACCAAATTTTTATTCAAATAGCTAAAAAAATAAAACTTATCACAAATTTTTTTTTTCATTAACATTTTACAGTCTGTAAAACTGCTAAGTTTTTTTGAAATTTTTTTGTGATGAAATACGAGATTTCATGACCTGAGAATAGCAGGCTTTGGCGTTAGACAAAAATTTTTTATGATGGTTCCTAGTAGTAATAAACAGATGTCTGTTTTCTGGAGAATTGTTTTGCTGATAGATATGGAAGTGATGGTTTCGATTGGCAATTGCAGCAGCACAATGTGAGGAAAACCATGGAGAAGAGTGAGGCTTGACCTGGAATCATTGAGAGGGAATAATGAATTCCATGCCAGCCTGGATCCACGAAGTTATGTAAGAAGCACATTTGTCAACAGGAAGATGAAAGATTTCTACCCAAGGGCCATCACAAAGAAAATCGTGGAAAGAGTCCCAGTCAGCTTTAAGGTAGTTGTAAGATGTGCAATGATAGGGGGATTCTGATGATAAAAAATAATGAGATAATAGTTTTAGAAAGATCAAACTGTGATTAGAGGCAGTTAAGGGTGAATGTGGAGAAACTGAGCACTGACTAGGAACAGAAACAAGACATAAGTCAAGTAGAGAAGGTAAATGATTCGGGTTGTCTGGAAAGCGAGTTGGAAAGTTGACTATTTGAGTTAGGGATTGAGAAAGGCAAAAGTTGTGAGCTTTAATGCCAGCAGAGTCACTGACACTAGAGCCAAGTCATTCAGTGTGATGAGCATTAAAGTCACAGACAACAATGATATTGGCTGATGGATAAAGTGAGATGGCTTGGTCAATATGATCAGAAATAACATCAAGAAGAGTGCAGTCTTGAGATGAAAGAGAGCAGTATAGAACACAGAGAAAAGCAATGGACTGAAGTGGTGCTAAACAAAAGCACATTAAAGAATAGTCTGTGGATTCAAACCTAGTTTCCTGACAAATGGGTCAATTCTAACAAAAGTAAATGCCCAGGCCAAGCATGTGACTATTGGAGTCTTTACTAATTAAAGGAAGATAACCATCAAAACTGAGATCACAAGATGAAACAGCTGAACTCAAATTAGTCTCACCAAGAGCAAGTAGGTCTTGTGAACTTTCTAAGAGATATGACTTAACAGAAGAAAAGTTACTTCGAAGACCACGAATATTAGTGAATGATAGGTTTAAAGAACTATGAGGTGATGACAATGGTTTTTTATGTTTTATAGTTTTTGTTATTTTATTCATTTTTAAATTTGTGAAAGAACTTGAATCAAAGCATAGATAGTACTCAGTACACTGCTTAATAGCCCAAGCAATTGCCCCATTGCTATTAATAAACCCTATGCCATAACAAAGTGCTCCAATTTGGCAATGCACACCAAAAGTACAAACAGAAACACCATCAATGCGTAACATGGCACTGTTAGTACTTTGATATTTTTTAGCTGTTGATGGAATCAGCCTCTCTGAGAGCTACTACAGAGTTTGGAAACCTGACTACCAGCCGGCCTCAGAACCATAAAACTGAGTTTTAGAGCTCTACCTAATTCTGAGGGCTGCTTCATTGATACATATATATATATATATATATATATATATATATATATATATATAATATATATATATATATATATATATATATATATATATATATATATATATATATATATAAATATATATATATATATATGTATATATATATATATATATATATATATATGTATGTATATATATATATATACTTATATGTAATATATATAATATATATATATATATATATATATATATATATATATATATATATATATATATATATTATATATATATATATATTGATTTTATTTTGATTTAGCTTACCACTGAAGCAAAGTTAGGAAAACAGATAGATATTTGTTTACAAAATGGTAAAGCTCTACATGATCAGTTATTAGTTGATGTCTTACTCTGCAAAATACAGTAACTTATCCTTTTTAATATATTTTTTCTTTATTCTAAATTGATTTTTAATCATTGGATTATATATAAAAACAACTAATGATGTAATAATATTTTTTAACTAAAATCAAATTTTAGTGACTAAAGTGTGACTTTGTCCCTAAAATTTGATTTTAGTTAAAAAATATTATTACATTATATGAACTGCTATGGTGCAGTGGTTTTAAAAATAAAATATTAGATACTGGACAGATAAAATTGATACAGTCAGTAATTGAATCAACTCAATTGATTTATTGAGTCAACTAATATACTAATGTTTACACTATTATTTTATTTTATTTATTAAGAACATGATGACACCAGCAGCAAGGTTTTTTGAAATCTGATATTTTGCAATGTGTTTAGTGTTGTTTTTGTTTACTTTAGTGGTTTGCCTGAAGGTACAGGATGGATTATTGATGGATTTCCTGTTACACTCCAACAGGCTCAAGTATGTGCTTAGTTTTACCAATACATGAATCTTTTCACGAACAGATTCTGTTACTTTTTATTTAAAAAAATATTTTTTTGCAATAAATAATACAAAATAAATATTTTATTATATTCAATTTTTTTTTTACAGTTATTTGAAAATGGTTTAAGTGGGTATTTTGTTCCTACTCAAATTGTTGCAGGATTGAAGGAAGATAAAAAAACAAAAAAGTTTAAACTTGCTTCGGATCCTATTCCTCCTCCTCCGGTATAATGAAAATTTTTTAACCTATTTATAACTATAAAATTTTATTTGTTATACACAACATAATATAACTACATATATATATATATATATATTCTTTTTTTTTCTCTTTCTTTTATTCAGAAATATTCTCATAAAAAGTCATATATTTTTATCTGTTGATTGCTATAAGCATAAAGTTAACAGTTGTAATAAAAATATGTAGTTTTTATATTTTTATATTTAGTTTATAAATATGTGTTTTAAACAAGTGTATGACAATTAAGATGTATATATATATATATATATATATATATATATATATATATATATTATATATATATATATATATATATATATATATAAATATATATATATATATATATATATAATTATATTTTATTTAGTTAAATAATTGACGATATTCGATTTTTACAAATAAAATTAAATAAATTAAATAGTTAATTATTAATTAACTATTTGATTAAATTCTTAAAAATCAAGTGTTATCAAAAAATTAATAATTAATTAAAAAAACAATCACTTGTTAAAAGAATCACATAAAGAACCTTATTATCAAGAATATTGTGAATATGTTTTTTCTACATATTCACAATATTCTTGATAATACAGTTTTTTGTTTAAAAATTACAAAACGTTGATATACTTTAACAAAAGTTTTTTTTATTATTTTTTTTTTATTAATTATTCACCTCCCCA